TCCAAAGTTTATGATGAATTATTACTGCTCATACCCTATGTTTCTTTATCTGTATACCACAGGTGAGTGAGGTCATTCTCCGTTCATCCATCTGCTGCTGGCTTATTTAGCTCAGCATTATACTTTCCACCCAAGTTGCTGCTAACTGCATGACTCTGCTTTTTCTTGTGAATGCATAGTATTCCATCATGTATATCTATCACAACGTTTTTTTATCCATTTATTTATTGTGGGCATTTGGGTTACTTCCATACCTTGGCTATTGTTCTGAGATCCGCAGTGAACAGAAGTGTTCATATATCTTCTCAAATTAGTGTTTTTGTGTTTTAGGGTAGATACCTAGAAGTGGGATAGCTACTTTGAATAGGAACTCCGTTCTTACTTTTTTGAGAAACATTTGTTTTGTTTTGTTTTCCATATAGGCTGCACCAAGTGATATTCCCACCAACAGTGAATGAGGGTTACTTCTTTGACATACTCCTGCCAACACTTGTTTTCAGTTTATATATAAAACTGAAATATATATATATATGTATATGTATATATCTTATTTGTGAAGGTGATACCTCATCGTTTGTTCTGATTTGAACTTTTTTGATACTCAGAATAATGAGCATTATTAAAAACATGCTTCCTGGCCATCTATGGAAGTGTCATTTTGTCCCTTCTCCCCATTTTTTGATGATATTGTTCCTTCTACCCATTATTGCCTTGCACGCAGCCAACATGGCCGACCCGAGTTCGATTCCTCCGCCCCTCTCGGAGAGCCCTGCAAGCTACCGAGAGTATCTCGCCCGCACGGCAGAGCCTGGCAAGCTCCCCGTGACGTATTCGATATGCCAGACACAGTAACAACAAAGTCTCCAATGGAGACGTTACTGGGCCCGCTCGAGCAAATCGATGATCAACGGGAGGGCCTTTACTTTACTTTACCCATTGTTTTGTTGTTGTGGAAATTTATGATTGCTTTATAGATTTTGGATGTTAGTCTTTTATCTGAAGTATCAGTTGTGAATATCTTCTTCCAGTCAGATCAGATGCATGACATTTTATTTTAGCCTCAGTTTCTTTTGATATGCAGAAAGATTTCAACTTAATTAGTGCACTTGCTTTTTTGGTTTTCATTTGTTTTTATCTTTGCCAATAGAATCAGATAATTGGAGAACCTTTTTTGTGTTCAGGTCCTGGAGATTCAGCCTGTCTTTTTTCTTAATGTATTTTATGGTTTCTGTTATAGTCTCTAGGTCTTTTATCAACTTTTAATTAACTACTTAAGTATTATGTGATATATAGGGACAGTTTCATATTTTTTGCAGTTTTAATATTTGTTGAAGAGGCTTTCTTTGCTTCACTTTTTGCATCTAACGTCTTTATCGTCATAGTTTAACTGTCCACATATCTGAGAATTTACTGCGGGGATCTCATTTCTGACTCTCTGAGCCTACCCTTATTTGATAATTGAAGCTCTATAATATAGTTTTAAGTTTGGACCTGTGATACCTCCTAACTTCTTTTTTGATGTTGGAGGTGTGGCTTTGGCTATTTATGTGGTTTTTGCTTCATACAAATTTTAGTGGCGTTATAATTTCTTGAAGAATGTTACTGGGATTTTGATGGGAATTGCATTAAATCTGTATAGTTAGCAGGTACTGTCGCGATAGCACAGTGGGTAGGGCGTTTGCCTTGCACACAGTGGACCCGTATTTGATTCTTCCGTCCCTCTCGGAGAGCCCGGCAAGCTACCGAGAGTATCCTGCCCGCATGGCAGAGCCTGGCAAGCTCCCCATGGCGTATTCAATATGCCAAAAACAGTAATAAGTCTCACAGTGGAGACATTACTGGTGCCTGCTTGAGCAAATAAATGAACAATGGGAGGACAGTGCTACAGGGCAGTTAGCAGAAAATTTGTATCAGAGAGAATTCATAAGGTAAGCTCACTCCTGAAGTACAACTTTCCAGATATCATCTCAGCCTTGAAAACTTTTATAGAAAACTTTTTCAAATAGGTTTGTCTCTGGTCTGTTCTCTTAATTCTTTTCTGTAGAACACATAAACACACATACACACACACATAAATTTTCTCCCATTATTTATTTTGTTTATGCATTTTTGACTGGAGTGATAGCACAGCTGTTAGGGTGTTTGCCTTGCGTGCTGCCGACCCAGGTTTGATTCCTCTGTCTGTCTCGGAGAGCCAGGCAAGCTACCGAGGATATGCCGCCTGCATGGCAGAGCCTGGCAAGCTCCCCGTGACGTATTCGTTATGCCAAAAACAGTAACAAGAAGTCTCACAATGGAGACGTTAGTGGTGCCCACTCAGAAAATCAGTGAATAATGGGAGGACAGTGCTACAGTGCTACAGACAATGCTATGCATTAATTTTTTTTGTGTTGGACATAAAACTCTCATCCATGTCTGGTGGTAATGTTATCTAGTTATCTAGATCGTAAAATAGGGAGGACATGTTAAAAAACTGAGGGATCAGGGGAGTAAGAAGAGGCAGATGGGAGGTAACAGGGGCAGGACCCTCAGACACATCTGTGGTGTAGATGTGTGTATGGCTATATATCTGAGTCATAGAGCTAAGAAAACTGAAAACACAAGATTCAACTACAACAGCCAAACTTAAAAATGTGCTTGTCGTAGTTTAATGCATGGACCATTCACTTTTCTGCCACAAACTGCCAGGCTCTGGACTAAGTTCAGAGCCTCTGGAGCCATGGCCATGCTGGAGAGCCACTCATGGGGGGCAACTCGTGACCTCAGTAGGGCATGAAGGGCGAGCTGTTACCGTCCCCCTTCCCATGAGACTGCAGTTGCCCCGTCACCACTGCCTCATACCAGGCTTTCCAATAAGCTCTGAGGTGGCGGCCACCTTGCTGCCGGGAGGGGGAAAAATGGTGAAAGGGAGCAACACCCTTTCCCTCCCGGGGAGGCATGGTGCCGTAGTTTAATGCATGGTCCATTCACTTTTCTGCCGCAAGCTGCTGGGCTCTGGATTAAGTCCTTTTGCCTCAGGAACCATGGCCGTGCCAGAGAGCCTATTGTGGACTGCAACATTATATGATTCTCATAATCAGCTATAGAAAACAAAGTGTTTCACAATGCCTTTTCAGCAGTTCTGATTGTTGGGGGTGGGGTGGGAATTCTAAGCAATAATGGTGCATCTTTTGTCAAAATAATGAATGTAATCAATGTAGAGAAGAGTTAAGTGGAAATCATCTGCTTCACAGACATTGGGAGGAGTAGGAGGGGTGTATATTGGGGTTCTTGGTGGTGAAAAATGAGTACTGGTGAAGGGAGAGGTGTTTGATCATGGTATGACCGAGAATTAAAACTGAAAGCTTTGTAACTTTTCCCACAGTGATTCAATAAATAAATATAAGAAGAAAAAAAATAAAATTATGAAAAAAAAGTAAGGTGGAGTTCATGCCCAATTCAATCAGCTAATCAGTGGCTGAATAAATAGCAGTACTCCAGCATAAAAAAAATTGTGCTTGTCAAGGAAGATGTATTGGTGGATGGGAGGAAAACTGAAGAAATTGGTAGAGGAAAGTGGACAATCATGGTGGGATTGTGTTGGAAATTGTAAACTTGGCTTTGGGGAATAATAACCAACTTACTATTTTTTATTTTAATTTTTTTATTTTTGTAGATATTGTTATTTATTGTATGAAAGTCATTTTAGTTACTGTAAAGAAAGCCAATCAAGGACAAACAGAAGAACACTCATTGGTGGAATGTACAGTAGCATAATATGAGACTAACACCTCAGGACAGTAGTGGTAAGGGCCAGGAGGATCAGTCCGTGGTTTGGAAGCCTCATGTGCTGGGGGAAAAGGCAGTTGGGAGGGAGAAGGGGCCGCTAAGTAAATAATTACTCGGGATGAGAGATGTGTGGTGAAAGTAGACTAAGGACCTCTTAGTATCTGTATTGCAAATCATAATGCCCAAAATTAGGAGTAGAAAGAAATGTACCTGCCATAGAGGCAGGGAGTGGTATGGGGTGGGGGTGGCAGGAGGCACACTTGGAACAGTGGTGGTGGAAAATGTGCACTGGTGGAGGGATGGGTGCTCGATTATTGTATGACTGAAATGTAATCATGAAAATTTGTAACTATCTCATGGTGATCGAATAAAAAAATACACAAAATGTTTGCTGAAAAAACCCCAGAAGAATAAAAAATATAGTAGCATAAAGTTGCTGTAATTTGGATCCTTAATGATAATAATAGGATGTGCAATTAAAACTCTAGACACTGTGAATAAATATTATGTAGATGTTATGGAGTTTATTGTGTAAAGTTGTGAATTCATATTTTTCTTTTGTGGTATAAAGTTTCCTGTTTCTCTCTAGTAGTCATCATTAATATGGTTGAAGTCATACAAAAAGTGAAAATATTGGACCAAGTTATTATTGATTTATGGTTTTGTGAAATTTGGGGAGTTGAGGTTTATTCTTCTCTGTGGTGTAACAATAAAAAATTGATCTCTCATTTGGGATATAGAGAAACAGAGAGTAATAAATGCCAAAGGCATCAGAACTGGAGATTTTTGTCTACAGAACTGAGCTTACCTGGGAGTTGAGGTGACATGGTGGAGGGAAGCAGGCACTCTGGTGGTGGGTGTGGCGTGGAACAATGTATGCATAAAAATATAATTAGACAGGATAAGGACCTATTCTATATTAATTTCATTCCCTGTTGTTCTTCTGTTTTGTTTCTGAGGAATTTTCCCAGGGCCTCATATATGTGATGTATGTGCTTGGATTGGGCCACATCTCTGCCCACACTAGATATTTATTTGATTCTTTGATTTCATCAGCAGTATTTACAGTGACTAGCACAATCTTTAATACATTATTATAATCTCATCCCAAATTGTAATTTTATTTATCCTGCATGGTACAGCACCAAGGGAAGAATAGAGATTAATTTTCTTTAACTTTTTTGACATTGTCTAGTTCTTACTGGTCCATACTGAAAAATCTATTGTTGTAGGACCAAGTGTCTTTCAAAGATGTATGTGTGCAGTTCACTCAAGAAGAGTGGTATCTACTGGATCCTGCTCAGAAGATACTTTACAGAGATGTGGTCCTGGAAAATTACAGCCATCTTGTTTCAATAGGTAAGCATTTTTGCCACGTGAGCACCAGTCATACTCATTTCTCAGGTGGTGAACCATACAAGCTCCCTGTGAAATTCTGATTTGAAGCTTGAGACTCAAGAGAGGTTACATGTCCTGTCGAGAATGTTACGTTCTTATCACCTTGGGCAGTGGTCCATTTGGGGAGCTCTTAAATGTGTCCCTTGATGTTTTCAGAGTCCCAGAAACCAGACTGATTAGTCATAATCCTTTATTATTTTCTCTCAACAGGTTATTGCATTACTAAGCCAGAATTGATCTTCAAGATTGAGCAAGGAGAAGAGCCCTGGATATTTGAGGATGGATTCCCAGGCCAGTGCCAGCCAGGTGAGTTAGTGAGTTTATAGGCAAACAGAAGGCAAAGAAAATGAGATTTTAGACATTGGATTGGGTTTTATCATTTTTGAGCTATTGCTTAGAATCTTATTATTTTGTCTCAGAACTTTGAAAGTGATCAAACACAGTTGACCCACATCCCTTTATTAACTTAATAATACTTCTTTGTGTTTCATCTATTAATATATTCCTTTGTTCTTTGACATCTTAGATTTACCTAACCCCATAATCCAGATCAGCTTGTATGATCTTAGATCATGGTCTAGTTTATTTTTCTTGGTGAATTTATCTGTAAAATTGTTCACTTTCCTTCTGCTATCTTTGGGCACCTTTTTTTTTAGCCACTCTCTAGTTTATAAAGTATTAAATGTCATTGCTAGTTTTCCCTACAGCATGTTTTTATTTTGTACTCAGAAAGGATTAAGGAGCTGAATACTTGGATTTAATTTACATCAGGGAATTGAGCTAAAAAGAGATTATTGTATAATAAGGCATTTGTGTAAAAGTCCAGTTCCATTAGAAATGTACAAGGATTTATATGATGTGGTTGTTTTTCTCATTTCCAGAAGATTGGAAAGTTGATGACCTGATAAAGAAGAGCCAGGAAAATCAAGATGAACATTTTTGGCAACTTCCCTTTACCACAAATAAAACATTAAGTGTAGATAGTGGTAATAGAGTAAAGAAAACTTTCAGTCTGGGCAAAGACTATATTACTTCAAGAAGTTTTCCATACAAGATATGTGACTCATGTGAAATTAGTCTGAAAAATATTTCAGGATTAGTTACTAGTAGAAAAAACTATTCCAGAAAGAAACCTGGTGGACTTAATGTGTATGAGAAATTGCTTCTTGATATTAGGCATGAGAAAGCGAATGGAGGGAAATCTTATAAGTATACTCAAAAAAGGAATTTTCTCAGCCATAGCCAGCATTTCATCCAGCCCATTTTTGACCAGCCTTTTGACTATAATGAAAATGAACAAGACTTCCATGATGAAACAACCTTTTTCACAAATAAGGGTGCTCAGATAGGAGAGATACCCTGTAAGTATAATGAATGTGGAAGAACCTTCGTCCAAAGTTTAAAACTCAATTTATCTCAGAGAGCCAGTTTGGAATTGGAGCCATATGAATGCAGCATTTGTGGGAAGTCATTGTATTTGAATTTAAAATTGGGACATCATAGAGTTCTCACAGGGGACAGTCCTTATGAATATAATGAATATGGTCAAATGTTCTGTGACAGTTCAACTTTTGTGGTCCGTCAGGGAGCTTATACAAGAAAGAATCCCCGTGAATATAAAGTAAGTCACAAAACTTGGGAAAAATCAGCCCTCTTTAAACACGAAATAGTACACATGGGGGAAAAGCCTTATGAGTATAGTGAAACTGGAAATTCTTTCAACAAGAAATCACATCTCACCCAACTTCGGAGAGTTCACTCAGGTGAAAAAACGTTTGAATGTGGTGAATGTGGGAAAACATTCTGGGAAAAGTCAAACCTCACTCAGCATCAGAGAACACACACAGGAGAGAAACCCTATGAATGTTCTGAATGTGGAAAATCCTTTTGTCAGAAACCACACCTTACCAACCATCAGCGTACACACACAGGAGAAAAACCTTATGAATGTAAACAATGCGGAAAAACGTTCTGTGTGAAATCAAACCTCACCGAACACCAGAGAACACACACAGGGGAGAAGCCCTATGAATGCAAAGCATGTGGAAAATCCTTCTGTCACAGGTCAGCCTTAACTGTACATCAGCGAACACACACAGGAGAGAAACCTTTTATTTGTAATGAATGTGGGAAGTCCTTCTGTGTAAAATCAAACCTTATTGTACATCAAAGAACTCACACAGGGGAGAAACCATACAAATGTAATGAGTGTGGGAAAACCTTCTGTGAGAAATCAGCTCTTACTAAGCATCAGCGAACTCACACAGGGGAGAAACCCTACGAGTGTAATGGATGTGGGAAAACCTTTAGTCAGAGGTCAGTTCTCACTAAACATCAGAGAATTCATACGAGGGTGAAAGTTCTTTCAAACTCCTGAATGTTCAGAGGCCTTCATCTACCTTTCATATTACTCATAGAGTTTTAAAAATAAGGTGAATGAAACGGAAAGAATGCCACAACTCACTAGAAACTGCTCTCATTGTGTTTTATTAATAGTATATAAAATAATGTTAATGTTTTGAATATATGAAAGCTTTCAAGAAAAAACATTTAACCAAAACTATGTAATAAGGGGAATGTATTCATCAAAATAATATGGTAAAGATCTTTGTTTGGAACTTATGTTAAATGGTATCATATTCCAGAATGATAGTGAATTTTTACCCTAAGTATAATAGATGATATGCGTTTATACCTATATTCACAGTGAGGTCTGCAGCTTTAAAAGTGTTTGAATGACAACAGTATTAGACATACATGATGTTTACAGGCCTATGTGAGTATGCTAATATAACAAAAATTGGGGGATGCTTGAATTGTGTATTGTAACCCAATGTGTTAGTAAAGAGAAAATGTAGTCCTTAGTTATATACTGATTAAGTTTTATATTAAAGTTTCCCACACTAAATACCACCAGTATCTCTCTTGGTTGATATACATGTATATATGTTTGTGTAAATATATTTACATATACCTTATAGATATATACCTATACACCTAGTGGTGTACTTTATTAAGCTAAAATTGACTTGTAAGTACTACTGACAGTTAAATTTTCAAGATATTTGTGAGTCAGTTGTTAAATATAGTCATAAAAATGTTAGATAACTTAAACTTACTATTAAAATGTATAACAAAAATGTAATAAATATTCACTTTCAAAATATTTTACATTTTATTGTTATGAATTATTGTATTCCTTTGGATATTTTACTTCTCTTTGGCTTACTTACATTATTGAATATGCATGGTGAAAGTACATCTTCCAACTCTGCATTCAGAACCATCATTTTGGGAGCTTGGCTTTAGTGGGAATATTTATATCATGGAAATTAGAAAACTCTAGAAATTGAAGTTTTTAATTTTCTCACCTGGAATATTGACAATTGTCTAATTATACTACTGTGCATATTTAAAACTTTTGGAATTTTAAAGCATGAAACATTGTAGGCCTTCTATTTTCTGACATGCATAAATGTCTATGGTGATTATTTCTTGACTGCCTCTCAATAAAAAAGCCAGAGTAAGTTTTACGAGGTTTTTAACTACCTCTGCATAAATTCCATTCTGAATGCTACCACAGTCTCCTTATAGTTTAGCCATGTTATGTTATTTTATGTACTCTTAACTTTGCTGGAATAAATGAATAAATATGGTCTTTATTACTGAGCTACCACTTTAACTGAAAGGGCAAACTTTTTCTGAATTTTTTTAAAGCTGCTTCTGAGTCATTCAGGAATATGAATGCTGTTAATAGCAATGGTCTTTACAAAAATTTTGCGAAGGTTTAATGTTTATTATATTGTGCTAGTTATAGTGCTCTATACTGCACTCAAGTAAAAGGTGGCAGTATGTAAAAGAATACCTCTTTAATACTCTTGTCATTTTGTTGCTGTTTTTATTTAGCTGTGATGTATAACCTGAGTTGTGTGAAACCCCGGAACTATGTATTTGTATTTAATATAATAGAAAGTCATACGTCTCTTTTGTGCTACTCTTTCCTATGCTTTTTTTGAAAAACCTAGACTCAGGTCATGTAATTGAGCTGCATAACTCTGTTTGGCCTGGTTCTCTACTGTACTTTACTACTTAGGTATTAGCGGTTTGTTTCTTCTCGGGGCTTTTACTTAGAACTGAAGGTATTCTCCACTCAATACAGACAAGTGCTTTTCCAAATTCTAATGCCTATAGAGCAATTTTGGGAGAAGAATGAATTCTTTTGGTAAGTTAATATTAGAAATAGCTGTTGTATCAGCCATGTGGTTATTGTGAAAATATGTAGGCTCCCAGTAAGAGCATTCTAATGACAGACTTAGTGCAGTGATGTGGGCCAGAAACAAGGGATCTGAAGTACCCAGATCTAGTATCAGATGCTTTCAAAGTCTTAAAGGGGGTAAAGGATGGAAATAAGCACTACAGAACCCAAGGAGACTGTGCTAAGGAAGGAGGGGACACCGTGTAGGAGATACTGTGTCTTCCCTGAATCATGGCAGGAAGTTGCTGGTGCTTCTCTTTGGAAAACCCAACCAAATGCCATCGCTGGCAAGCCTGAGCAGTCACAGAAAATGGAAAGATCTGGGTGGGGGCAATGGAGAATCAGTGGCACAGTTTTTGTTTTTTAAATTTCTGTAAATTCCTCTGTGAAAGCTCAATATTAGAAATAAAGTTATTCTACCAGTCAAAAAGATGTTTCTGCTTTGTTGTACTTCGTATTATTAGTTAGTTCCTTTTAGAACCGAGTGTTGGTGTATTTCTCCATTAGCATGGGGGTGAAACAGACATATTAAATTGCATTATTCACTCTCACTGTGGTGTGCTTGCTTATGTGAGGTATAAAACGAACAGCTCTACTCTTCCAAATAGTCAGGTGTCTCCATAACTATTAAAAGGTGACTAATCCAACTTTCTTTAAATGCTCATTCCATATGGTATTTTTATTCAACACTTAAATAGTATGTAGTAGCTATTGCTTTTGTTGGCTCAGTGCAGCTTATGTTCTAGTAATATAATCTGTCCTCTTGAGCATGGATTTAATACTATCTCCTGGGAAAAAAATCTCTCACTCCAGGTATATATTTATCCATGAAGATAATTTGTTAGAAGACAACCAGCGAGGAGCTATGCTAGAATAGTGTTAGTGTGAAATTACCATGGCTTGGTAGTGTGTGTTCTTGTTGTCACTCGCAGTCATATCAAGGAAATTCATCTATAAAAGGAGATGATTGTAATAAGTGTAATGAAGAAAAGTGAAAATAAGAAAATCAGAATGCTGGTTTGGTTTACATAGTATGGAGAGGAAAAGACTTCACTGAGAAGATTGTTGTGGAGAGAGTTGAGAGGGAGAAAAGAGAAAGAGGTTGAGAAAGAGAAAGACAAGAAGAAGGAGACAGGAGAGAGAGAGAGAGAGAGAGAGAGAGAGAGAGAGAGAGAGAGAGACTACTGCTATAGCCAACACCTTTGTATGTCTGTAATTTTTAAGGAAACATTAACCTAATTCCTTTCAATATCTTTGGATGTTTTATCTTGTGCTTTTGTTACATTCCACTCAGAGAAATATTTGTTCCCTATGCTAAACTGATTTCAGAAGCAACAAATGTAGCAGCTCTCATCTGAAAAGCAGTGCTCAAACATGCTGAATCAGCAGGAAATTCTCTGACGAAGCAGTTTACATTCCCAGTAAACTAGATAATGTTTCTCATAAATTCCTCATCCTATTTTCTGTCTTTGACTTGACCTCCCTTTGCCTGACGTGCAGGCTCACGTCACAAGCACCTTCCCCAATGTACTCTTTTTCTCTGCCTCCCACCCACTCCAGTCAAATTTTTTAAAATAGAAAAACTTGGTCATATCATGTATTGTAGAGACTTAGGAAATATGATACTGCTACCTTAGGTTTGTAAATTATCAGTAATAGAGGGAACAGTAAAACTTAAAATGTCCACTAGTTTGGACCCTGTTCCATTTCTGGATATTATTGGTAATAGCATTATTTTATAACTACGGCATTATTTGTGGTGGCAAAAAGTTGGAAACAACCACAGAGGCCCAGCTCTGGGCAACAAAGCTGAACGGCTCCAATTCCAACAGGTACAGCCCGCCCCCAAGGGCCTGGGACCCTCTCTGGGCATGCGCAGCTAGATCCAGCCCCTAGAAAGCCGGTTTTCAACCCCTGATCTGCGTGGGACGGGCACAGAGGCCCAGCTCTGGGCAACAAAGCTGAACGGCTCCAATTCCAAACAGGAGACGTTCCCAACTCCTCGCCCAGTGCCAGGGACTCTTTCCGGAGCCGCGGCCGCTAATGCGGCCGCGAAATATTTTCCCACTACATGTGCAATAGAAACCATAAGCTACCTTCTTAGATGGAAACTTTTCTATTTTAGCTCAGCCACTAGAAACACAGTAGCCAATAACTCATAAGCCTATCTTAACTCACACTGCATATCAAGCAGAATAGTAACAGTGAACGTGAAGGACTAAACCACACCTCTCACAATGGTAAAGCAACGCAAAAGCCCACCAAACTTTCATATTGAAGAGTCTAGCCCAGATGACACCAACAGTACTGTAGTGTTGGACAACCTCTCTGACAAGGAATTCAGAAGGGAGCTACTTAGGATGCTTAGGGAATTAAAAGAAACAATGGAAAGCAATGCCAATAGAAGACAAGAGGATCTGAAGGCAGAAATGAGGAAAATGCAATCAGAAATGTCGGACCTGAAAAACCTGGTAGGCGAATTGAAAATCTCAATGGAAGGCCTCAGGAGCAGAATAACAGCTGCTGAGAACAGAATCAGTGCGCTCGAAGATGAAGTTCAGAGACTCGCCAGAAAAGAGCAGAAAATGGAAAAGAGACTCACAGTTCAGGAACAGATGGCAAGAGAAGATCGTGATGAAGCCAAGAGGGGTAACATAAGAATTATTGGAGTCCCAGAGGGACAGGAAGAAAACCTCGATGAAGAAGAAACTGTCAAAGACATCATTGCTACAACATTTCCAGAGCTGAAGAAAACTTGTGACCACATTCAGGAGGCCCGAAGGGTACCAGCTAGAAGAAATCCGAATAAAAATACCCCAAGACACATCCTGATCAAAATGACCAAAACTTTGGACAGAGACAAAATTCTGAAAGCAGCAAGATCGAAGAATGAAATCTCTTACAAAGGAGCATCCTTAAAATTCACAGCTGATTTTTCTGACAAAACCCTCATGGCCCGAAAACAGTGGTGGGACATAGTAAAAAAACCCAATGAAATAAATGCCTCCCCAAAAATACTTTTCCCAGCAAGACTCTCATTCATAATAGAAGGAACAACACACAGTTTCACAGACAAACAACAGCTCAGGAACTTCATAGACTCAAAACCATGGTTACAAGAACAACTAAATGGGCTACTTTAAGGCAAGAAAGGCCCCTCAAATACACCAAATTTTAACAGAACAATGGGACAAAATCCCATAACAATAATCTCTCTCAATGTCAATGGGCTAAACGCACCAATTAAAAGACATAGAGTGGCAGGATGGATTAGAAAATTGAACCCAACATTCTGCTGCCTGCAAGAAACGCATCTCAATAGTCAAAGCAAACACAGACTCAGAGTCAAAGGCTGGAAAACAATCCTACAGGCAAACAGCTCCCATAAAAAAGCTGGGGTAGCCATCCTTATATCAGACCACATCGATTTCAGAGTGAGGAAGGTCATAAGAGACAGTGAAGGCCATTTCTTATTGATCAAAGGATCTGTACAACAGGAAGAACTTACAATAATAAATGTATATGCACCTAATGAGAGACCAGCAAAGTACTTAAAACAACTACTCATAGATTTGGAAAAAGACATCAATAGCAACACAATACTAGTGGGAGACTTCAACACTGCTTTGTCACCTCTTGATAGATCAACCAGACTCAAGCTTAGCAAGGACATACTTCATTTGAGGGAAACAATGGAAGAAAGGGACTTAGTAGATATATACAGGACACTTCATCCACAAAAAGCTGAAGACACATTCTTCTCAAGCGTACATGGAACATTCTCCAATATAGACCACATGCTGAGCCGCAAAACATGCCTCCATAAAATTAAGAAGGTAGAGATTGTATCAACAATCTTCTCAGACCATAATGCGCTGAAATTAGAAGTAAATCACACACAAAAACAGAAAACTAAATCAAACACCTGGAAATTAAACAGTGCACTATTGAACAACGAGTGGATTAGACAGGAAATCAAAGAGGAAATCAAAAGATTCCTAGAAACGAATGAAAATGAGAACACGAGTTACCAAAACTTATGGGACACAGCAAAGGCTGTGTTAAGAGGAAAGTTTATAGCTCTACAAGCATTCCTCAGGAAGGAGGAGCGAGCACACATAAGTAACCTAACCTCACAGCTTAAGAGCTTGGAGAAGGACCAAAAAAAGGAGCACAACCCGAACAGGAGAAAGGAAATAATAAAACTCAGAGCAGAGATTAACGAGATGGAAACCCAAAAAACAATCCGAAAGATCAATGAAACCAAAAGCTGGTTCTTTGAGAAAATTAACAAGATCGATAAGCCTCTAGCAAAACTCACAAAGAAAGGGAGAGAGAAAACCCTAATAAACCGAATCAGAAATGAAAAGGGGGTCATTACAATAGAAACCACAGAAATTCAGAGGATCCTCAGGGAGTACTTTGAGAAGCTTTATGCCACGGAACATCAAAACCTGGAGGAAATGGATAAATTCGTAGACTCCTACAGACTCCCAAGGCTGAACCAAGAAGACCTGGAATACCTGAACAGACCTATCACCATCAAGGAAATTGAACTGGTAATA